TTGGGTTAGGGTTAGGTTAGGGTTAGGGTTAGGTTAGGGTTAGGGGTTAGGGTAGGGTTAGGTTAGGGTTGGGTTAGGGTTAGGTTTGGGTTAGGGTTAGGTTAGGGTTAGGGCGAGCGCAGCGTCAGGCAGACAGGGAAATACTCCCAATGCCGGGCAGTCAGGTTTGTAACCAGAGTGGGTACGGAGGGCTGTGGGAACCCACCTGGGGACCGGTGCCGGGTGTCTTGGAGAATGCGAGAAGTGACATTTATTTGTTCCCACATCCAGCCAGCAGTCACCGGTCACCGGCTGTCCAGGCCTGGGGCTCCGTGCGGAGGGACAGAGGGGAGGCGGCAGGGAGGTGGCGGGAGAATCCGCGAGAGTCAAGGGTGGAATCGGGGTCAGCTGCGGGGGGACCCCGGAGCAGGGCCCAGCAGGGGAGGTGATAGCGAGTCCTCTGTCCACAGGGCTGTTCACCATCGAATACCCCGTCGTCGGGAAGTTCGGCCGGCCGCAGACGAGGCCCGGGGCTCACCTCGAGCGGATCCCCAAGCAGAACGTGCATCCGGGAGAAACCCCTCCGCGGTCTCTGTCGGCGCTGCCGGAGTCCTCCGTGGTGGAGTCCGTGAAGGAGGAGCCGGCGTCTGCCCCCGTGAGCCCCGTCCGGGGGAAGAAGACCATCCGGACCCACGCCAAGGCCACCGTCACGCCCAGGTCGGCCTGCCCTCCGCGTCCTCCGCGGCGTCGGGCGCTACGGTTCGCAGGTGGACAGAGAGGGCCCCTCCGTTCCGGGACTCGCGTTCTAGGGGTGGGGACGTCGGGCAGAGCCAGGCGGCAGGCGCCGGGACGGGCCAAGGCTGCGGTGGCGCGAGGAAGGGGCGCAGTGACGAGGGGCAAGGACTGGGTCGGCGGGAGGCAGTCCCAATAGCGCCCTAGAAAGCCGTTCTGTGACTTCAGGGAAGGAGGTGACCTCGTCCCGTTTATCATTTTTAACTTGGAGGAAGCGTCAGAAATAGTTTTCTACGTCTTGACTTTCTAAAAACTGCAAAACGCACACAGAGAGATGAGCCAGTGCTAGCGTGTCGCTCAGTGAACCTCACAAAGCGGACGCGCCCTGTGACCACTAGGTCAAAAAGAGAACGTCACCAGCTCCTTAGAAGCCCCTTATTGTCACCTCCCCGCCCCCGCCCCAGGTAGGAGATTCCGACACTGCAGCTCAGTGTCCCCGGGGAAGCCCCAGGCAGGCCGCCCAGCCCACGCAGGAGTTCCTTGGGAACAGTCCCTGCTGTGCCCCGGCGCTCGCGAGCTGCACCAGGCACCGGGGCTGTTGTCCGCGGCCGGCGCTAGCAGGGGTCAGCAGGATGGTCGGGGATACATTAAAATGCCACAGTGGGCCGGGCGCGGTGGCTCACGCCTGTGATCCCAGCACTCTGGGAGGCCGAGGTGGGAGGATCGCTCGAGGTCAGGAGTTCGAGACCAGCCTGAGCAAGAGCGAGACCCC